GCCCTCCTGTGAATCATAGGTGGTCCCCTGGTGGGGTAACCTAGCTGTTGGAGCCATCGGAACGGGGCTAGGAGATGTTGGTTTGCCAAAATTCCTTTGCAACTGAAACAAGAGAAGTCAGGGGAAGGATGGACCAGATTTTCCACTACTTGGGATATCCTTTCAAAATCATGACTGACAGAGAAGAGACTTCTGCAGAGTATGGAGAGTATTTCAGCAAGCAGCATGCCCCGGCGAGCACGGAGCCCTCCTGATGAGCACAGCAGTGATGCTGCAGCAGGCAGAGGGCTGCTGTGCCGGGGGAGCCCTTCAGCCCTGGAGCCTGGGGGTAGAACCCAGGGTCCCAGGTACAATGGGATAGTGGCTGCCTATCTGGCAATATAGGGAGTTTTACTAGGTTAATAAGCAATGCATACTGGTGATGTCTGCTCTATGTCTTATAACTGGAGGGCAGACTTTGAGGGTAAAGATTTTGCTCAGCGTAATCATGATGGCACTAGCTATGGTAAAGCAGACCACTTGGAAATTCCCACTTGTAGCATTCTCAGAATTTGAATGGAGCCTAGCTGGAAAGGAAGGTAGACACAGAAAAAGATGACTTGTACGGTTTTGGATTCAGCACTTTTGGTTTGTCAGGCTGGTATTAGACGGATGGCATCAAACTCCTTCCACCTGATGTGATCACCAGCCAATCATTTTTCAGTTCAGTGAAAGGGTCAGTAGTAATTGCAAGATGACAATATTGATTCTGTATCGGTTGGAGAAAGGTTAGGAAAGCTTGCTGTGTGCTTTTTCAGTGCACAGGTATGTTTTGCCTGGATACAGACATTCTCTTTATAAGTCAACATAGAAAATTCAAACTTATTGATGACATTAGAAGGAGAAGTACCTGGCCCCTGTTTCCTCAGATACCTACAGAAATGGCCTTCTTGGAATTCTATTTAAATTTGAAAACCTTTGTGATACACAGGTCGTGTGTGACAAGACAGTGTCCCTTTGCAACACTTGGTTGAAACGCTCGTTTGTGGCAATGCTCTGGACCCTGACCAAGTCCCCTGCAGTTCTTCACCTGGGGCGCGTGCCCACCCCGTCTCTTCTGGGTGCTGCTCTTAAGCCCACATCTGCCCCCTCTGGGAAGTTTGGCCTTCACCAGTTGGGCCTATCTTTCTGGCAGGTGTCAAGCAATGGATACAAGAGCAAAGCTCCCCTTCTTTCTGTCAAAGTGGGGCAGCTTCTGAGCGCCCAATCCACTCAAATCCCCTGTAGGGTTAGGTCGAAGACAGATTCCAGCGGAAACCACCTGGCCTGTGTGTCCTCTGTTTTCTCTTACTGAGAACCTCTTTCCATAAGCTTCTTGCACAAGAGTCCGAGTGTGCAGTACATAAGCACCGTGTGAGCCTAAGTTCCAAGTCACAGCAGAAATGTAATTTCCTGTGGCCCTCTGCTTTTAGTTTTAGATTCCAAAAAACTGAGGTAAAATTGTACCCAGTTGTAGGAACTGGCTTATTTCAAGTAGCTGGCAGCATGTGCGTGGATACTTTTAGATGGACTCTGGCCTATTTGTATCTATTAAATGTTATTTATTTTGCTTGTATTTTGAAGTTCAAATTTAGTTGGAAGGAGAAGGCATATATTTCTGAGACAAGAAACCAGAATGAATGGGATGGTGACACTTCGAGTGACAAGTACCATGGCACTATCATTTGTATGAGATGCTTTTGCAATAAAATCTGGGGAAGTCTGTGCTTAGTGGGGCAGGGACAAGCCTCTGGAGTCATCACCTCACGTATCTTCTCTAGTGCCAGGCTCACAATGTAGGAGATGACAATCCACTCCTGGGGAGAGGGCCAGCCGTCCATCCGCACCAGAATGACATAGTTAAATAACAGGAGGTAGCCCAGGTATGATATCTGGAAGAAAGACAAGCTGTGAGCTGTGTCCTGTGGAAACAACCTTGTAATCAGGTGTTTGAAACGTTATTGTCATGTTGATGCGTCCTTTGAAATGAAGTTTTATTTCCAACTGGACTGACACATAGAGAACCTCTAGGCAGATTAGAGGTATTTTCTACATTTGCAGGATACAGAACCTGACATTCCATTTTCTAGGGGAAAATATATTTGTTGGTGCTGTCATCCTCATGGGGGAAATTATGCAGTTGCAAAAATTATGAAACACAGGGAAATTTTTATTTATTTAAAACCATTTTATTAGCATAGGTTTGTGATCCATATTGATTATTACATAAGGAAACTTTAACAAAATTATTAGTACATGTTGCAGTACATGGTGTCTATTTTAAGGAGCGTGTACGTGTACTTAACATATCCAAATTTTTTTGTTCCCCTTCCCTTTCCCTCCATAGCCCCTCCCCCTGCCTCTGGATCTTCTTTCCGTTTACCAATGATCTAGCTCCCTGTTTCCTATTGTCTATTATTTTGTTTTATAAAAATTATTTATACTTTGGAAACAACTTGTAATAGTTTGCTGGTGTGTCTTCTACATTCTCGGGAACTGGAAAATGTTACTTATTCCTCCCTGCTTCACAAATTCCCCCACTAAATCTCTCTACTCCTGATGGATGGTGCGAGAGGCTGGAAGAGAGCACATGTAAGTGAATCATCTGCTCGGGCCGAAGGAGCTGACCGAAGAGTCCCCTCCATTCCCTCAGTTATTTGCATGTTGATGTGTCCTTTAGAATGGATTTTTATTTCCAGCTGGACTGACTTATGTGGAAAACCTCCAGGCAGATTACAGGCATTTTATATGTTAGCAGGACATGAGACCCAGGGCTGACAAAAATAATACTCAGTGGGCACGAGAAGTTCCCTAAATTTTTGGCAGGAAAGGAAAGAGTTGCATGAGTGGGGCTGAGGCAGGGCATGTGGGACTGAGAAATGGGGTGCAGGGAGGTTATCTGAAGCTGCTTGTCCTTGGTGGATTGTCCACACAGCTGTGGAAACTTCAGCTTTGGGGTCGTTCGCTGGCAAGGCCCTTTCTGAAGACTTGGAAAAGGAGTGCTAGCAATCATGTATTTGTGATCTGGCTGTTTCTTTTTTAAAGATTCCCCTTCCAGTTGTCTAAATCTTGTCAGGATGCAGGTAAAACCCTTGTACTCACTGTTGGTGGGGCAGGGTGTGGTTTTTGCTGCTAAAATTGGAACTGGACTCCCAATGTGATGGTGTTGAGAAGGGGTAGGGCCTAACAGGAGGTATTTAGAGCATGGGGGAGGAGCCCTTATGCGTAGATTTATGCCATCTCTCAGGAGAGAGCGAGTCCTTTGGCAGGACTGGATCAGTTCTCTTGGGGAAGCCCTGATTCTGTCAGTGGTGAGTAGTTATAAAGCAAATCAACTCCTTTGCCCTCTCCTCCTCTGCCACACATGCCTGCTGTCCCTTCTGATTAGCATTATGAGTTGAACTCCTATGAGACCCTCTCCAGAAAAGCCTCATGCCAGTGGTCTTAGACCTCTAGAACTATGAGCCAAAATACCCTTCTTTTCCTATAAATGACCCGGTCACAAGTATTCTGTTACAGAAACAGAAAGCAACCCAAGACAACTATCTATTCCTTGCAAGATGATTAGTGTCAGAGTTATCAAACTTCGGGCTGTGTTACAGTCCCCAGCCAACTGTAAAGGTGTGATGCCCTCTACCACATCCACAGAGAGCATCCAGAGGGTCTGGGTGAGGCTGAAGGTTGAGAAGCCCACACTGGGCTGTCAGCCCCTTGACTCTACCCTGTTGGAAGCATCTGGGCCTGAGCTCTCCTGCAGGATGTACATACTCCAGGCCCTCGCCTGGTTCTGACCAAGAATAGATGGCCAGCAGTGGCTTCAATTGCATTATCAGATAGGACTTCCAAGAGGCCAGGTGTTCAGAGCCATAGTTAACCTTAAGAGCATTCTCTGCCCCCTGCCCACGCTCATTCATTGCCCATTCATTACCTTTTACCCAGCCCCCTGCCCCATGTCCTACCACCTGCTTCTCCACAATCACTGGTAGAACCTTCATGTCATGGGCTACAGCTCGGACTTCATGAGAAATATTGTCCCTTCTTCTTCATACTAACATGGGTGCCCAAGGTATTGTATGTCTGGCTACCCCTGCTAGGGTTGCTTGTGGCTGGATCGGTTTCCTGCAAAAACACTCCAGTCTGCTCCTACTTCTTCTGCTCTTATCACCAGCGAGTCACGATCTCAGCTAGTGGATCGCTGGACGCCGAGGAGGCTGGAGAGGGGCATGCTGCTGCACAGCTCAGTTTGGTGAGCACCGCAGGGCAGAGATTTCGATTTCCTTCTCTACTCTGAGAGTTCATGATCTGGGTTCAGCCACACTGTAGTTTTGATCTAGCCCAAAGCATCACGTGTTAAAGGTCTATTCCCTAGTCCATGGTCTTATTGGGAGGTAGTGGACTCTGAAGAGGCGGGGCCTAGTGGGAGGAAGTTAGGTCACTGGCAGACACTGTGCCCTTGAAGGGGACTGAGGACCCCAGCCCTTTCTTGTTCTCTTTCACCACCTGGCCATGAGGTGAGTGGTTTTGCCCAGACATGCAACACCTTGTCATGAGCTGCTGCTTTGCTGTAACCCCGAAAGCAACAGGGCCAGTTGATCATGGATTAGCACCTCCCAAACTGAGCACCTGAATAAATCTTTTCTCTTATAAGTTGATTATCTCAGGTATTTGTCATTGTGAAGGAAGCTGACCAACATGAGCTCTATCCTTTTAATTACCCCAAATTTAATGAAAAATAGGGTCCATTGATTCACTCTTTAATTTACTAGCTATTTTTGTTAATTTTAAAGTCAAATTATATTTCCCTAAGTTTGTACTATTCAAGGCGTTTAAAAATCTTCTCTCACACGCCAACAGAATGCGACTAGTCTGCTTTATGAAACAACATATTTGGGACCAGAATGTCCATATTCTTGAATTCCAGTTTTGTTTTCATAATTCATTTTAATTCAGTGAATTTTAGGCACTTTTTTAATGCCCTGAATTTTTTTTATTCCAACGTGTCTCTATATTTAAAACATACTGAATGGCAAATGGTAAGGAGGAAGGCTTACTGTGTAAAACCAGAACTTGACTATGGGTGCATTATAGAATTCACAGATCTTTGTTCCAATGGGAATGCTCTTCTGCTTTTTGTGTGCATTCTCCTCATCCCCCTTTCTTGAGCTGGCATCTGCATTTGCATCCTGGAAAACAGAACGGTATATGGCAGGCAGGTTGCTTAGTGGGAAACGCGGCACTCCAGCACACAGGCACTTTTAGAAAGAGCAATGTTTAACCCCACTAGCCCCACTTAATAAGGTTTCTAGATCCACAGTAAAAGAAATCTCAACAGTATGGAAAATTTGAACAAAGTGACACTCAGGATCAAGGGTAGCACTGACCGTATTTTCATCTTCTTTTTCCTTGCCTTCTTCATTTTCCTTTGATGTTTGGTATGAGAAATCATCATATGTACGAAATTCCAAAAACAAGATGGTGGGCGGAAGAAGAATCCCCATGATAACCTGTGGATGATGAGAGGTAAATCAATGTTTAAACTGTGGTGATTCTAGAAAAATTTCCTTATCCAGTTGTCCCTTAGTATCCATAGGAGATTGGCCCTGGGACCTCCTGTGGATTTCAAATTATGGATGCTCTAGACCAGTGACGGTGAGCCTTTTAGAACTTTCACTGATACAAACTGCCCACTGCGGCAGGCATGCCACAGGTTTGCCACCCCTGCTCTAGAACCTTAAATAGCTTCGTATTTGCATACGCTTTATACACATCTTCCTGTGTACCTTAAACCAGGTTCCAAATGTTTCCCACCAGAACCGAGAAAGCCTTGTTGCATTGCCACTTTCTAGGCTTCAGCAGTACTGGTGAGAAGTGTGATGTCAGTCCTATATTCCTCACTTTGTGGGTGACTGTTTATTTAAAACCTTAAGGATCTCTTTTTTCTTGGTGTCCTAAAACTACTTGTTTATTAATATTCAAGGTCTTGTACAATATCAGCTTAGTGCATGACGCAGAATTAGACAGCTAGGCATAACATTCACATTTTTAAGAAACAGAATGTGTTCTACTTGCCAGACCATGCTACACAGCATAACATTACACAGATTGAGCATGCCTAACTCAAAAATCTGAAGTGTGAAATGCTCTAAAGTCTGAAACTTTTTGAGTGCTGACGTGATGCCATAGGTGGAGAAATCCACATTTAACTCATGTGCCTTGTCATAGTCAAAATGTAGGTGAAAAAAAAAAATGTGGGTGAACTAAAAATATTACTAAAAATATTACATACAATTATTTTCAGGCTATATGCACAAGGTATATATGAAATATAAGTGAGTTTCACATGTAGACTTGGAATGCTATTATGTTTATGCAGATATTCCAAAATCCAAAAAAATATCTGAAACGCGTCAGGCATTTCAGATAATGGAGACTCAACCTATATTGGTTTTTCTTTATTCTCATAGCAATCCCATAAAATTACCATTAGACAGCTGTTTACCTGCAGAGTAGAATATTTTCTTAAGATAATCTAGTAGTTGACAGTGGTAAACAGCAGAGATAGGATTTGATTGAAATAGCATTTTGTCCCCGCTACATCTTTTTCAAACCTTTTCATAGCTCCATATTCTCTCATAAGCCCCATGTAGTGAAAGCATCACATTTAAAAATAATATCACACATTTTCAGCGTATAAAGGAATCTGCAGAAATAGAGTTCAAGTCCCTGCTTTAACAGTGGGTAGGTGACTTGTCTGGGGTGCAAGATCAGTAGGCTCCAGGTGGAGACATGGGCGAGGACAGGGAGTGGGATAGGCCAAGCATGCTGGATACAGGGTCTCTGGCATTAATCTTGGTTCAGGTTATGGTCTCATGCAGGACAGCTAAGAACTAGGCAACTTACTGTCAAAGCTTCAAGTTCCCCATCTATAAGACAAGGTTTGTCATAGTATCTCCCTCACGGAGTTGCTCAGAGGAAAACAGTGGTCCCTCCTTATCCTTGAGGGATATGTTCTAAGGCTCTGAGTGAATTTCGGAAACCACAGAGAATCCTGGATCCTATATATTCTGTACTTCCCATGTGCCAAGCAGCATTGCCACATAGCACCAGAGCTAATTTGTTTTTCTAAATTTTATGCCCCGGCGCTGCTTTTGCATCACTAGTTTTGTTTTACGAGGCCATTACTAAGTAAGATAAAGGTTACTTGCATACAAATTCTGTGTTACTGCGGCCGTTGTTTGAATAACCAAGGCAGCTACTCAGTGACTGACAGATGGGTAGTGCATACAGTGTGGATATGCTGGGCAAGGGGATGACTCACACCCTGGGTGGGCGGGAGTGGAATCATGTGAGATTTCATCATGCTACTTGGATTAGTTCATTATTTAAAACTTATAAAGGGAAGCTGGGAAGGTAGCTCAGTGGCAGGGTGCTGGCCTAGCATGAACCAGGTCTTCAGTTCCCACACCAGCACTATAAACAAATAAGCAAACAATCAACTTATGAACTGTTTACTTCTGGAATTTTCCATTCAGTCTTCCTGGACTGTGTTGATGTTGGGTGACTGAAACCAAGGGAAATGCAATTTGGACAATTTGGACAAGTGTGACTACCGTGAATGGAATGCCCTGTAGGAAGTGCTTAGCTCAGCTTGGCAGGGAGAAAGAGTTCATAGACGTCACTAGTCAGAGCTGTCTTTGCCCATCTCAGGGCACATGGCACGTACCTTCAGCCCGGGGTTCTTCCTCATGCGAAGCCTCCCCATCCACATGTCCGTGAGCAGCATCTGGCTGCAAGTGTGGGCGATGAAGTCCCGATGTTTGGCTGCCACGGCCAGTTTGAGGCAGGTGGAGTTGCTCCAGTTCTTCAGCTCATAGGTCAGCAATTTCATGGCTATCTGCTCATCGTGCTTATAGGACTGATCTAACAGCTCCACGGCAAGCTGGCCGAAGTCTCTGGAGGGAAAGAGATGCAATCAGGGTGAAGCCACCATGGTCGTGAGCTCTTTTTAAGATGGATGTTTCTGCAGAGACACAGGGAACCGCAGGACAAAGAATCCTCAGCTGGAATGAGGTGCTCAGTAGGTTGGAAACTAATTACTCTTGCTACAAATAGGGCTATAGGTTAACCCTGCATCTGCCCCTCAGGCCCTAGGGATACAGAGACCAGAGGACCGAGGCAAGTTCAAAAACAGCACCTGAGCAGCTGGAAGTCAGCGTAGCGGCTGTCCTTGGAGGTGGGGCATGGGGGGAGGAGAAAGGAGGACATTGAAATGGGATACCCGGAGGACTTGTGTGTGCCAGTTGGGCTCTATTCCTTAACCTGGGTGCTGATTGTGTCAGTGTTGCATTTGTGAACGGTTATCAACACATATGTTGGAGAGGTGCTTTCTCTGTATGTGTGGCACTTCCATAATGCACCGGCCGCCAGAAAACCCAACCTTCTCCGTGCTGAGATGAAATGTAGGTATCACAAGGCCCAGAGCAGGAACATCTAATTGCTAATGGAGGGACACTTGTAGGAACTTGGCAAGTGTGTGTGTCTGCATGTGCATGTTTGAGGGGGGAATCATGGGGAATACGACACAAACTGGGTTTTGAACATCAAACTTATTCCTTTTTCCCTGACCCTCATTCAAATATTTAGTGATTGCCAAAATTATTCTCCATCCCTTTAACATTTTGTCATGGATGTGATGAAAACATGGGCAGGCGGTGGTTTCTCTCCTCTGTTTTTATTTCTTCATTTTATAGATCTTGTCTCGTTATGAGCTGAAGGACGGAAAAGGCGGAATCGTGTGGAGGAATGGCCTTCCCTGCGCCTGTCTGCAGCAGCTCCTGTCCCATGTCCCGGGCTGCAGGGTGACATATTACCATGTGAATAACTCCAGGGAGCCAGAGATGGCATCTGAACCCCACAAGGTAAGAGAACATGTGCCCATTTTTAAACAGCCTCGAATTCCTAACATTTAGAAATTGGCCAGTAATTTTAGAATGCCCTGAGTCCAAAATAAAAGTAGTGGGTTTTAGCAGACAGAGGTGTTAGACGTTGGCAGGGTTATCTGTATTTGCCTCATTTGCGTGCGTTTAGTTGTGCTGGGAATTCAGATTCCCACTCTGGCATGTAAGGGACCTGGCAGCTGCCAGTCTGTTCCAACAAGCAGACTCTGAAAACACAGCAGATCTTAGCTCCATGAAAGAAGTGAGATCACAGGGGAATCTGCTGCCCCTAAATTTTGAGGGACAGACAGGAGGACACAGAGAATCACTACTTACTGGAGCAGAAATGTCTGCAGGCCCAGGGTTGGAGTAGGACACATGAGCTTTGGTGATGTATTTCCAGAAGCTCAGTGTGGACAGGTCTGCGAGGTAAAAATTCCAGGACCACAGGGGCAATGGTGAGTTTTATGCACAGGATCCTGTCCTGGTTCTCACAGTGAATAGAGGAGAAAATTCCCTGGGCTTCCAGCAGTGGGAGGATGAAAGAAACTATTCTAAAATATGTCCTAGGACACTGCTCCTTTTACTGGGGCTTGCCCTTATAGGAAACTAGTTAACTAACCAGAGCCTAATCTCCTGGGGTTGTATTAAGCCTAACCCACAGCAGGGGAAGAGAAATACCGAACCCCAATCCTTTTAGCCATCCTGCCCCACCTAAGGGGAATAGAAAATAAAAACTCTGAGAAATCCTCATGACATTCACAGTCCAGGGAACAGGTACACTGAAGTTGCATAACTCGTTAGGATGTTTCTTTAAGGAAATTTGTCTTTGCCTAGGCACTGTGGCATGACAGACAACACACTAAACAGCAACAACCAGAAATGTCCCAGAGAGACAGTAGGGAAACACGGAGGGATTTTAATCTCAGTGATCCTTAAGCAAGAAGTATGATGGTCACCCCTTCCCACAAAGAGACAAGTACTCAGGACAATAGGCTTTTCTGACATAACTACGAGGGCAAAATGGGTCTTTGGAAGTTAGAATTTTTCCCATTGGAGACAACCTTCTTCTCCAGTCTCCTCGAGCCCAGGGCATAAACTCCCCCACCCTTTCCACTCAGATGAATGGGCAGAATACGCAGACCAGGAGGTTGGAGTCTGGCTTCATCTCCACAGGGAAGGAAGGAGCAGGGGTGAGACAGGAAAGTTTAGTGTTTCGTTGTGTTCCCTCTCCCCTTTCTTTCTTACTACAAAAGGCCCTTGCACACGTTATCCTGGGGAAATGGAGGTCTGAGGCAGTAAGAGGCCTCTCCGTCTCCTTGGAGCTAGCTTTGAGTACAGCCCTTTGATCCTTTTGCCGAAATCAATGGCCTCCCTTGTTTGAAGGGAGTGCAAGTACACGGACCTGAGCAGTGGTAACACGGGCCTCAGATCCCCGGCAGACACTAACTTGGAATTGTTGTCCAGGTCTTGGGAGATGTCATCCACCAGCTCGCTCTCGGAGGACTCATGGGCCATGGCCTTGTAGAGCTTGCAGGCCACCAAGGCCTTGGCCATGCTCTCCTCCCCCCGCTGCCACAGGAAGACGGCCATTTTCTGGCGTTTCATCAGCACGGCCCACACCATCAGCTCGTGAAAGGGGTACTGGAACCGGCTCACGGCGGGGTCGTCCACGTCGATGTCAATCTCTTCCTCCTTCTTCTTCTTTTTCTTTTTCTTCCCTTTGGCTGGAGGCTCATCATCCTGAGGGGAGAACACATTTTCTCCTCACAGTTCTTCCTAAGTGTACAATAAAGGGTGCTGGCACCACTGAATGCAGGAAAACTTTCACTCAGAGGAAATGAAGAGAACTCTTAGGAACAGCTTAAGCTCCCACTCAGTCTATTAATCCTTCTGAAATGATGTACAGGCTTATTATGACAACGAAACCACCTACAAGCAAATGAATTCAAAAGGCTTGGTACTATTTGAGTAAACTATAATCCTGGGTTAGCAGGGTTTGTTTTTTTTTTTAAGAAGCCTTTGATTGATGCAGCAAAACTAAAACGTAAGTAAAAGTAAAAGACCTCTGAAAAGCTAAAGGTAAGGAACACCACAGGGAGAGGTAAAGTCCACAGCCTGTGTCCTCAGGGAGACTTCCAGCCAGGGAAAAGAGCAACACTTGTTTGACAGACGTAGCTGAGCCAGAAGTTAATAGGAAAAATGTAAAAGAGGATAGAGGAAGATGTTTCAGGTTTCCCTTTAATGTGTTAAGAAAGCAAACATTCCTCTTTGGACAAGCTCTGTCCTTTCCCCATGCAGTGCAGGAAGAACAGGATCTGTAAAAAAGGAGGTCATGATTAGGGATGCTGGCAGGGAAATCTGTGGGGTTGAGGCTATTTCAGGCTAAGACTTATGCTCAGTGAATAACAGAAACGGATACAATCAACCCTTTGTGTCTCTGGGTTCTGCTTTTTCAGATTCAGCCAACCTTGGATTGGAAATAGGAAGAAGAAAATTATATCTATGTTGAATATTTTTTCTTGTCATTATTCCTAACAGTATTGTATAATAAGTGTTTACGTAGTATTTACATTGTATTAGGTATTACACGTCATCCAGAGATGGCTTACAGCATGCAGGGAGATGGACACAGGTTTTAGGCAAATATGACACTATTTATAGAAGGGGCTTGAGTATGCAGATTTGCTATCCTTGAAAGATCCCAGAACAAGTCCCGTGCAGAAACAGAGAGGGGATTGCGTTCGCTCTTTTGCAAACAGCTTTCTCGTCAATGATCTACTTTAAATTTTCTTCCTTAAATTTTGAGTATTTTTTTCTTTTGTAATTCTGGGGACCAAAACCAGGACCTGGTGCATGGTAAGCAAGTGCTCTGTCACCAAGCTATACCCTCAGCCCTATGGCCTGCTTCTACTCTACAACTACTCAGGGAGGTGAATTCCTCCCACTCCCTCCGATGACCTTGTGGCTCAGAGTCTGAGTCACTCTTCTACGTCCACGCAACTAAACAGGCTGGAGACCCTGAGTGGAACTTGGCTCCCCGATTCCCACCACAAGTGGTTCACAGGTGACCCAACTGTTCTAATGTCATAATGAGTCGCGATAATATTCTTATGGAAATGAGAGGATTTTTTTTTTTTTTTTTGGTTTTTTTTCTCCGGTACCGGGAACCGAACTCACGACCTTGCGCTTGCCAGGCAGGCGCTTTTGCCGCTGAGCTAAATTCCTGGCCCCTAAATGAGAGGATCTTGATTGAAATGTTTCTGGCCCAAGTTTTAAATTTTGTCACAGTAAAACTACAATCACAGCAAATTAGGGAAGATTGGTCAATATTACGGTTTAGACCTGTGGTGTCCCCCAAAGCCTCATGTGCATGGAAAGTGATTGGATCATGGGGCGCTGTATGCGTCAGGGGATAGATCAGCTGAACATATCCAGCGGAGTGTGCTGTTTGGAGGTGGGGCCTGGTCAGAGGGGGCGGTCCCTGGGGGTGGAGCTGGAAAGGTGCACCTTCCTCCTGGCCTCTTTACTTCTCTCTTTCTCTTTTTTTATTTTAAAGGGAAAAGAACAAAAGTAAAAGAACAAAAATAAAGACATAAACAAAGCAACACACAAGCAATAAAAATGATACAGAATTTCAAAACAAGGTGACAGGAAATTAACGATGGTTGTTGTATTACATATTGTTATCTTCAGAGTGGTTGGTTGTTCAGATAGTCATGTAAGATTGATCAAACAATTAAACATTAGCTGTTCTTTTCAATAAGCCAATAGAAATTGGTAGTACAATTACCTCAGCTCTCTTGTATATATATATTTTTCTCTTCCTTCTTTCTTTTCTCTTTTTCCTTATCCCAGTTGTTCTTTCCTTTTGAACAGTTTCTTTCCCTTGCATGATATCGATTCTATCTTTCAGATTTCATTTACTCTTTCAGGTTCTCACACGAGGGAGACAATATGATGTTTACACATGTGGGTTTGATTTATTTCACTTATGAGTATGCTCTCAAGTTGCATCCATTTACCTATAAAAGCCTTAAGTTTATCTTTCTTTATAGCTGAGTAATACGCCATTGTATAAAAATGCCACATCTTTTTTATCCATTCCTCAGTGGTTGGGCACTTGGGTTGTTTCTGAGATTTAGCTATGACAAACTGTGCTGCTATAAACACGGGTGCACATATATCACGCTTCTCTTTCTATCACCTGGCCATCACGCGTGACGTGGTCAGCTCTTCCTCCAGCCCTTCTGCCATGCTGTTTCTGTTCGAGCCCACTAAAAATGACCCGAAACTTGTGAAACTGAGACCCAAAATGATCCTTTTCTCCTTTATATTGTGGATGTTGGGTATTTTATCCTAGCAATGAAGAAACTGACTAAGGCAGCCTATATAGGTTAAAAATGGACATAACTGAATTTCTCAAATAAACATAGCTTCATTTTTAAGAATGTGTAAAATGAGGTGTAAAGATAATCTAATGGCCAGAAAATGTTTTAAAACAGAAGTTCCATAAATCTGCCTTTCAATACCATATAATCTTATTAAAATATTAATTGTTTACAAATTTTCTTAAAATATTGGCCAGATAGAGAATATAACAAGGACTTGATTTCCCTAAAATGGGAAGGCCTGCCACAAATCAATAAGGAAAAGAAAAACAACTCAATAAAATAATAAAGAATATGAACTGGAGGTATGAGATGAAATCGACCTATTGACAATTACAGTAAGTCTTTAAAAACACCTCAGAGAGGGATTTGAAAAAAAAATTAGTAAGTGGAAAAGCAAATTGAATTGCAGAATACCAAATTGTGAATAAACAAGAATTGTAACCACAGAAAGTCTTACAAAAATCAGCCAGGCATTACATTATACTTACAGAATTTTCTGTCTCAACAACTTTTACATAACAGAAAGCATGTAGGCCACATTCCAGGAATAAATAGAAATTAACAACAGCAAGATCACAAAAACAAAAGCTTGAGTCCAGAAAGTTTAACATACACTCCTAAATAATTCTTGAATTGAAGGGAAAATTATAAACTTTTTAGAGGTGAAAGGCAATGAAGGTTCTACTTACCCAAACCTGTGGGATGCCATTAAAATAAATCTCAGGGGAAAATATATATTTTAAAGTATTTATCGGTATACAGGTAGGACTACAGTAACTCCAGAGAAAGTATATGAAAAGAATGAATAAAAATAGAAGTGGATATTAATAAAATAGAAACAAGAAAGGAAGTTGCTAGATAAAGCAAAAACACCAGGAAAAAATGTAGGCAACTATGGTTAAGAAAAAAAGAAGACAAAATTTTAAAAAATCAGAACAAGCAATGGCACACAACTAAAAATATGGAGAAGATAAAAAGACTGGAATACTTCACAAAGGTTCATACTAATAAAATGGAAATTCTAGAAGAAATACATTTAGTTTAAGAAAATGTAAATTAGCTAAGTTGGCTCTAGAAAATAGAAAACCAAAAAAACTCATATTTATGATAACTGTTATAAAGGTAATGAAAGATAAACTCCTAAAAAAGCAGGGCTGGGGCCAGGCTATTATAGAGGTAAGTATAATAAACTTCCACACAACAGTTAAGCCCTACTTGACATAAAGAACTTGAGATATTAAGAAATTATGGAATGCCTCTAATGCTAGCAGGATCATAAGAGCAACACCATGATGAAACAATATCAGTCTTAATTGTGAACATGGAATTAAAGCCTTCTATATTGAAGCCATATGGAATTGGGTTGCTCAAATTTATTTGAGAAGAATCTTTACAATAATAAATCTGTATAGTCTATGTGAATGGCATTTCTTTTAATTATTTAAATGTTTTATGTGTAGTGTTTTATTCTTAAGATCTCCTCTTAAGGGTATTTCTGGTACTTTTGTCCTACTTTGAGGGAACATTAGTTGAATTCCTGGCTTTTCTGTATCTGAATTCAAAATAATATTTTTTGTTGATAATCATTTTCTCTCCTCTTGGAGTATTTTCTTTAGTATTTATTTTTCCACACTGTAGAATATTCAGAGAACTTTTGAAGACTAATAAAGATAATGGCCCAGCATGGTGTTGTTTGCCTGTAATCCCAGAACTTGTAAGGCTGAGTCAGGAGGATTGCCACAGGTTTGGGGCCAGCCTTGGCTAAATAATGAGTTCAAGGCCAGCCTGAACTATATAGAAAGACCTTATCTCAAAACAAAGGGTAATGATTGTTGTAACTTATATCTAGATGTCCCCTCACCCCCCAGAGCCTCATGCACTCATAATGGAGGACTTAGGGAGTGACTGGGTCATGGGTGTGTGATACTGGATTAGTCCACTGATTGGTTTAGCTTAGTTCTGGGTGTGGGCGGAGCTTACTGAAAAGAAAACACCCACCTGGGGTATTAGTGGCACCAACCAATAGTTTATAACCTGGGTAGAATAAAAAGGGAAAGAAGAAGGAACTCTTGCTGCTTCCTGCCTGCCCTGCCATAGGCTGTTTCTCTTCTGTCACATCCCTCTGCTATCCTGGCTGCCCTCAAACCAGTCAACTATGGACTGAAACCTCTACAAACTGTGAGCTAAAATAAACCTCTCCTCCTTAACTTATGTGTGTCAGGTATTTTGTCCCAGCAATGAGAAAGTAACTAAAACAATGATTGTGTCAGCAATAATAGGCATGCTTGTCTTATTTTTGATTTTGACAGGAATGCATTGCTTCATCATGTTTCTTCTTATTGTAAGATATATACATGCCTTAACTATATCAAGGAAGTATTTTACTTTACTATTTGGTTCACCATTCTCCTTCAAGTGAACTAAATCATCTTTTTGCAGGGGTATCGGGAATCAAACTCAGGACCTTGTGCTTGCCAAGTAGGCACTTGTGAGCTGAGCTATATCCCCAGCCCCAAACTATAAATCATCTCTAAAACTAAGAAATATGTTTTACATTTTTTAAAATTCCTCTTTAGTATTCTCCAACAAATTGTCATGTAATAGATTCTTCTCTGACTTTGGATAGGATCAAATATAATAAACACTTACTAATATTAAGTTATATTTGTATTCTTGAAGAACTTTACTTGTTTAGGACCTTAAAATATTCTATTGAATTTCTTTTGGTGTTATTTATGATTTTTGAATATGTAAATGGAATTATTTTCTAGTTTTTATTGTTGCTATTGCTTAACCTTTGCTTTTGTTACTATGATTGGCTAACTCTATCAAATGAATTTGATACCTTTTATTCTTTTAAATGTGTATGATCCCTTTATGTAATTTGGCTAAGTCATCTAAGTAGACTGTAGTGAGCTGTGTGGTAGATTTATGCATGGAAAGCAATTTGTTCATTTTGTGTTAAGCAAAGTAAAGGATTTATATACATTTGGCCAACATACCACAAAACCATTGAAAACAAGTTCTACTTACTTCCATTCCTAGAAGTTTAAGAGCTTTAGGCTGCAAATGAAAGAGAAGAAAACTTAAGTTACTCAAACAACTGTTACTAGTAGTAATGTTAGTAGTACATTAGTGTGATTGTTGGTTGTAGAAATAATAATTGATTAAAAACTACTTTGTGTCACTATTCAATGACAATAGCCAAGGAAAAAATGCTTTATTATGGAAACTGCTTCTGTCAGCTGAAGTCAGTTAGAGAGAAAGATGTATGGACACATGACCCTCACTGCAAGTAGAACCAGAGAAGTTTCCTAACAACAGTCCCAGCATAGAGCTCTGGAGTGGGGGAGGAGGGGAAGGATTCAGGACAGATTTGTGCCAGGCTCTCCCTAAGGGCTGGATCTTGAAAGCACAGTTAAGGGGAAGAGTCATGAAAGGTACAGGAACACAGTTTGATATTGGTGGAGGTACATGGTCTACTGTGATAGGGTGGGGGCAGCCAGCAGAGAGCCCTGGGTGCTGTGATAATGAGTTTGACTGTGATTATTCAAGCAGGGGAGAGCCCTGAGCATTGCTGCCTGCTTTGAAAGACAAAGGCAGCTACAGTGGTAATAGCATGGCTGTGGGGTGGAGCAGAGACAATACCCAGGGACCCCTACTGGGGACCGAGAAGGAGAGCAGATGCAATTGATGAGACGTGGTGCTGACATGCTAGGTAGTAATGGAGGACAATTGCACATGAAAATGGGCATCTGTAGGGCTGGGGAGGCCTCAGGTCAGGAGAAGGCGGGGCAGGTACATGCAGGCGCAGGACAAAGAGTTTGGTTTTGAGCAGTCTGAATTATTGGGAAGCACAACAGGGAAGCACAGGCCACTCCAGGAACCGTAGAACACTGAATAGGCACTGAGCTGTACCCTCTTAGGTCCGAACAAGTTGTTGTAAAGGGTCCGAAAGCTTTTCCGGGTGTAGTTGCAGCGGTACGCTCCGCCCATGAGGTATTCCAGCACGAGCCCTATGTCTATGAGGCTGATGTGGTAATCAGGCGGAAGGTTGCTCTGGAAGAGAAGAAGTTCATCTCAGGCCCTGTACGAATGCACTTACAGTGTGATCAGTCCAGCCCAGCTTGGAAGATCATGCAACAAAACAAGGGGATTAAACAATACTCAAATAACCGTTACTAGTAGTAATGTTAGTAGTACATTAGTCTATTAACATAACATGGCCTGTTAGCATATTATGGAGGGTCAAGCCATGTTCCAGAAATCGGGTTAATTTTTTTCAGTGAGAAGAAAGGATTAGAAACCCGCGTAGCTCTAGGGTCAATGACTGGGCATGTTCATGGCTTGACAGATCGGGCTATGGGTTGCACATGTGAATGTAAAAGAGATGGTAAGGTACAGCTGGCATGAGAGTGAATTAGTTTGGGTAGGAAGGTGCTTTGACAACTGCTTGCAGGGGAGAACCCAGCCTCCAGGGTCTGGGGCTAGATTTCATTCAGACGAAGGACCTCATCGGAGATTGAGGGAAGACAGAATCTTCCACTGGGGCTGGAGCTTTTCTAGTGAAAGCTTCTGTAGTGTCCAGTGGCTTTCTGGAGAATCCACTCCTGCCTAATTCTTCAGTAAGAACGAACACCACACACCACCATGTGTGTCTGCGAGCAGTGGAAGGGGCAGAATTTAGCATCAACACAGAAAAGGGTCTGTTGAAAAAGAGCAGGAGGCGAGGAACAAGGGGAAGAGGGCTACTCCATGTATTCCTAGTGACTCATCCCAACAGGTCCAGGTGTCAGGGGGCGGGGCATAGCTTACCAGCTGTTTTTAAGGATTTTTGGCTGTGTATTGATTGGTTAATTTCATATGGCTGAAATGCTGATGCTATCTGGGATCCACTGCATGGACATTACTCATCCCAAATGTCCTCCCTTTACCATAGGACCAGCCACACTGACTAAATCCTTCACTCGTGCACTGTGTGTTCACTCAGCCCCTATTGTAGTCCTTGACCACGTTGGGGGTTTCTTAGCAGCACGGAGAGCTACAGTCCTGCTCTAAGGAGATCGATGTTGTCAGCAGCCCTGCTGCCCCAGCACATGTGATGGGCGGGAGGAATGGCCCCAGCCCTGCCTGGGTGGACCACTGGGAGGGGGACAAAGAACTTCCAGGAGAAGGTGACACTCAAGGACAGTGGGTGGAGTAGGGATGGGGAGAAGGAGGAAGAGTGCTGCAGGTGTGAGTGAGGACAGAACCCAGGCTCCATGGACACCAGCGCTCAGGTGTGGTCAGGACACAGTCTGATGGGGATTTGAGAAGAAAGAGGAGGGGACAGGGGCCAAGCCCCGGGGGGAGGCATGGTGCCTGGAGCAAGTTTGAGCTTCATGCTATGGTCCATGGGGAGACTTTGGGAGATTTTAAACAGGGAACAGTGCGAGGCGTGTGTCTGGGGTTAGAGGGATTTATTGAAGCCACTCAGGTGAGAAATGGTTGAACCTGAGCTAGGGTAGCTGTTATGGTTTGTGTCTGGGTGTCCCCCCAAAGCCTCAAGCAGTCATGGGGCAGGCTTTTGGAGTTTGATTGATTATGGGTGTGAGAGCTACACCCACCCTGGGGTGGATAGTTCGCATATGTAAGGGAGAGGAAGAGGGTGCTTGAGGCTATTCCACCCTGGTGTGTGTTTGTTGCTGTGCTGTGTTCTGTTGCCATGGGCTGTAGCCCTCTGCCATGTGCCACTCTGCCTTGTAATCTGCCAAGTATGGACTGAAACCTCTACAAACTGTAAGAAAAATAAACCTTTTCTTCCTTAATTTTGGGCATCAAGTATTTTGTCCCAGCAACTAGAGAAAAGTAACCAAGACAGTAGCTATTGCTTTTGAAAATTTGCAGTCCCTAATCTATCTTGCAGTTTGGTTCTGCGGGAGAGGGAGACCAGAATCCTTCTGTGAAGGGTCTCAGAAGGGTCTCACATTATTAGAAGTACATATTTGTATGAAACGTAACCAGGCTATCAAGGACTCTGGCTGAAAACCCTATTTTTTCATTTGAGTATTTCTGTTGCTCAGACTACAAGTACCTGTCACACACTCTGCATGTCAGGAACTGCAGTGCAGTGAAATGAACCACTCTGAGGTGAACCCAGTCTAACCTTCTAACCTGTGGTGACAGGACACAAGAAGTGCCGCGACAGAGCACCAAGTGTGCAAGATCTACAAGGACACCGACGGTAAGTACAGTGTTGGTTGCAGTGGAAAGTGAGTCAAGCAGCTGTCTCTCAATAATGAAGGAACTAGCTGGGTGTGGTGGCACACACCTATAATCCCCACACTAGGGAGGCTGAGGCAGTAAAGTCCAACTCACATAGTGAGTCCAAGGCCGACCTGGGCTACACAGTGAGACCTTGTCACCAAAAACAAACAAACAAACAGGGGACACAGACAACTGAGAACATGTACTGCAATCCACAGGACTCGGAGTTCACCAAGGAACTTCCTGAGCGTACTTCCTAGAAAAGCACAGTGCATGAGTGAGAGCACAGAGATAAAGAGGGAAGGGAGGTGGCCCTAGCTGATGGTGGCCTGCAGGTCCACAGAGGCGGGATCCTCCCTGGTCTTTGTGGTGGTGCCAACCAGTCATCAAGGAGTCTTTCAGCATGTTCTACCCTGTGGGGATGCACGTGCAACTTAGAAAAGACTTTCTATTTTAGTTTTAAATAAACTCTTTTTATGAAGGGAGGAATTCATTATCTCTTATGTCTCATAAAATACTAAGAAGATGATATATTTTGAAAAATTAAAAAATTGCTTTTAAGAACTCTTTTAGTTCGGATAAAACAGTGCAGCTGCACTCACCTTTTTTACATCTCTCACCAGCAGGTGCAGCGTGTTTGGTGGACCCAGTCTCTGGAAGAGAAGCGTTCAGCTGTATTAAGTGTGTTTTTCTCTCCAACTCCTGGAGTAACATCCTGCCCTACTGTACAGAATGAATGAATTGTGAGAGCTGGACTGTGACTCGCCGTCAGCTTGTTTTATGAAGCAGCACTGGCCGTGGTGGAGAAGCACGCCCAGCCAGTTCCCTCATTAAGTGACAGCGTCTTAGAAGTATGTGAAGTATTTTCTATTGAATTCTTTTAAAGAGCATCTTACAGGCTACAGTATAGTCTTAAAGAGTTGTTGAGTTTTAGCAAGCAACTGCTGAGGACTATTTCTACCACTTAATTTCTTAGACCAGGAAAGGGTACATTCTCAAAATCTCTCTTGTAATAACATAAGACAAAGGGATTTCATCCAGTCATTCATTCATTCAAAGGTTACCACTCAAAGGTGGTAATACAGCAGAGCTCCTTGCTATGCAAACATAGTTCTACATTTTCTACTAAGCCTCATAAATATGTGAGTCTCATAAAAATTGACTAATCACCCCTCATAACTTTACCATCTTTTAACGACAGGCAGTTGACTCTCTCACCTTCCGAGTATAGCTAGGAATGGATACAGACAATCCCTGCCTTAGGACGATTCCATTTAAAATGTTTACACTTTAGGATGCTGTGAAAATAATACATATGCATTTAGCAGAAACTGTATTTGACTTTTGAGCTTTTCCCCAGGGCTAGTGACACACAGTTCGATCCTGTCTCTCAGTGCTGGGTAGTGGCAGACATCCGCAGTGTTCTATGTTCAGTAGGGTAGGTGTGTCCAGTGTATTTTCAACTTATGATATTTTTAATTTATGATGTGTTTATTGGGACACAAGGTAATTGTAAGATGAGGAGCATCTGTCTGACTCCGGAAGGGATTGATTGGCTAGGGGTGGTGGTAATTGATAAGAATGGGAACACATCAGGCAAGTAAGCAATAGCTGTCCACCCTTAAATACAGACCTCCTAGCTGAAACCATGCCAACAATTCTATGCCCAGCTGAGCACACTTATGTGTCAGATGCATCGGTCATGAAAACATTCAGAAGGCTGCCCCCTCCCCGCTTCCCTCCTTCTGAACACTCACTGTGTTGTAAAGCTCCTCCAGCCTCGGGATGGTAAGAAAGTGTTGCATGTTCACTCCATTTTCAATCAGGAGTTTCACAAAGTCGACTCGATCTAAGACTAAAGCGTCCAGCATTGCCTGTTCCAGAGCATTCACCTATAGGAATCCAGGCAGGGGAAAGTGAGCGGCCTCTCAGAGGGAGGCCAGGTGGGAAGCCAATGGAAACATTGTGGAAAGAATATTTTTGACACCCAGATTCCAGAGTATTCTGAACATAGTTCTTTATCCCCCTGCCCCCTCATTTTTTTTTTTTTTTTGCATTGAACCCAGGGCCTTATGGAAGCTGCCCTACCACTGAGCTGACCCCTGTGGTCTTCCAGGCTCTTTGTCCTGGGTAAACCTGCCTCATCTCTGCCCACTTTGGCACCTGCATTTCTATCAAAGTTTGTAGAGGATTTTCTCCTTTTTAGGATAAATTGAAGAGGATTAAAAACCAGGCATCCTGGTGTTGCCCTGCCATTTTCTCTCTCTTGTTTCTCTAAGTGAGAGTTCTTCTGCAGCCATAGTAGGACTGTGGGGGCACACAGTAGGTCCCCAGTGTGCCACAAGGTGAGTGGCTGTGACATTAGCGAGATGTGTCACTGCAGGGCTCCGTCTTGTCTGTGTCCTGGCAGCAGAGAGACTGAGAGTCGCCATGCACGTGTGGCCCCAGCCTCACAGCTGCTGTTCCCTCACCCAGTCTCAGTTCTACCCTCAAAAAGGTCTTGTTGCACAGCTTGCAATTATGTCGTAATAATTGGTTCGTTCCACATACTTTCCCACATCAAGCATCCGCGTGTCGGCAAGGCAGAGAGAGCCACGGTTAAGCAAGATGACCAGGACCTCCTCGGTAAGTGGCACCTTCCCGGCACGAGCACAGACACGTAGTGCTTTTGACAACTCATGGCTGGCTGAACTGCAGAAAATGTGCCCAGACCATCTGAAATACTGGCATTATCCTGTCAATCTTTTATCCCTTCCTCCTGGGCCTCGGTGCCCCGGTGGGGCTAAATCAAAGGCAGCAGGAACTGCTCCTTCCCTCAGAGGAGGGCGATCAAACACTTGGTCTCCAGGATCTCAGGAAACAAGCGCAAAGGGTGTTCTCATACCCAGTTTAGCAGCTCAAGCTTCCGCGGGTCAGTCTCTTCCTCCACCTCCTCTTTCACTTTCCCTTTCTTCTTGCCTTTCCCCTTTCCTCTGCCCTTGGTGGTGGCTGTGGGTGGCTTCTTCTCCTTCTCTATGACTTTGTTATCCACAGGAGGGGCCAGGCTTCCCAAGGGCTGCAGCCCAAAACAAGAAGAGTTGGGGAAAGGTGTTAAGGCTGTGCCTCATCCCCAGCCGAGCACACCGACAACCCCACACCTCTACATACACAAAACAGCACATCCAGTGCACTCACAAGCATGTGTGTCTACACACAGGGCACACAGGCACCAATACACATAGGCATGCACACCTTTGGCAGACCTGTTTTATTCACTCCTGTGTCCCCAGGACCTGAAAAAGACCTGGGACTCAAGGATCAGTCAACCAGCATTTGCATGAGTGAGTGAGTGAAAATGTAATTGCTTTGAAGTTTGATTTGCTTCAAGAAAGTGAAAGAAGAGGTTGGTTCTGCCATTTGCAGCGGCTGAGCACATGAGATGCAGGGAACCTGTTTCCTCCTCTCTGTGGCTTCTGTCTTTGCTACAGAAAAAAGTGAAAAGGTGGAAGAGATGTGCTCAGGCATCAGGAAAGGGTTCCTGGATGTGCAAGTAATCTCACGCACTCTGCCTTCCTGGGTTGAGATGCCCCAGGATTCTAAGACCACTGTTGGTGGCGTCAGAGGAGTAGCTATGGGCCTGGCTGGCAGAGCCCTTGGTTCGGAGGAGGGGTTCCAGGAGTGGGCTTGGCTTGCATATGCTTTATAAACTGAGACTCCACACTTGGTATCATTTGCAGAAAGGGCTCTCCAACTAAAATAGCTTGAAAGCAAACATTCTGGAGGAATTTGAGAGAATAAGAGTGATAGAATTGGAAGGAAAAGATGGAGAGGGGAACAAAGATTCAGGGGAGGGGAAAGGAATAGGGAAAAAAAGAATTAAGATATATTATGTACAGGTACAAATTCCCCATGATGAATGTGATCATTATGTATGGCATCATACTAATAAAACTGATTTTTTTAAGAAGTGGTAACATGGAGTGAGGGCAGGGAGCTTGTGGCATTTGTTAGGCCCTATGGAAAGTGCGTTGGGTGATACAACTGGAATTTAAAAACCCTACCAGACTGACGCGGCGGACTGAATCTAGCAGGGTGAGAGATAACAAAGGAAAAACATCTCCCACCTAGATACACACCACCTGGCCCAAGAACGGCTAACTCCAGGACTGTGGGATGAGGGACATATAGATGAACAGGTGGTGTGCACAACAAAACCCTTGGGAATGAAAGCATTGTATGTTCCACACTGCTAGAAGTGTGGAGCTGGCACAAGGCAGGTGACATTTTCTGGGCTGTGTAGTTGGGATCACACTTGCCACAGGATGTTAAACTGTGGATTCCACACCTTTAAAAATGTGGCATGACCACATGTAGAAAGAGGAAATTCTGATTCAGAACCTAAGATAGGGTTGAATAATCACTTGCTGGAGATATTGTCTGTAATACTCTTTTATTATGCTTTGCATGTGCATGGGGTCTGTGGTAATGACTCTTCTTTTATTTCTGGCATTGGTAATTTGTATCTTTTCTCTTTTTTTCTTAGCCTTGGAAGGGTTTTTTTTTTTTTTTATTGGTCTTTAAAAAGAACTAGATTCTAATTTTGTTGATTACTTATTTTCATGTCATTGATTTCTATTATTTATTTTCTTCTGCTTTGTATTTAATTTCTCTTCTTCCAGCTTAGATTGGAGGCTTCTAGAACTTTCTTGTTTCCTAATATATATATGCAGTACCCCAAGTACTGCTCTTCTTTCATCCCGTAAATTTGTTTGTTTGTTTATTTTTTTGGTACCAGGAATCAAACTCGTGACCTCGTGCTTGCCAGGCAGGCGCTGTGCCGCTGAGCTGTATCCCCGGCCCCCCCACCCAATAAATTTGATAAGTTGTATTTACATTTCTATTTAATGTAAATTGCGGGGCTGGGGATTTAGCTCAGTGGCCAAAGCGCCTGCCTGGCAAGTGCAAGGTCATGAGTTCGGTTCCCGGTACCGGAGAAAAACCAAAAAAAAAAGAATTATAATGTAAATTGCTTAAAATTTTTTCTTTTAGGTTATATTCTTTGACCTATTTGCTATTTAAAAGCATTGAGCAAACTTGGAAAAAAATCACTTAACCTCTTGGTGTATCAATCTTTTTCCAAACTCAAAATGAAAGCAATTAGAGCTTGTAAGGGCTGGGAAGCTTGCTCAATAATGCTCGCATAAGTGAGCATACAGGATAAGGCTCAACATATAATCCAAATATCAGGTATTACTACCAATATCTAGTTTAGGTTTTATGGTTCTAAACCATAGTTTTACTGAGAACAGGTCCTACATCCACAAATGGAAGCCAAATAAATAGTTCTTTTTCTGAAAAGTCAGCAGACATGTTTCCCAAAATCTCAGAGAGGGTAAATAAGGTTTTTAGATTTTGTCTGTATTAAAGTGATCAGAAGTTGTGATGTTACCAGGCCTCCCTCTTGAATTTTCAGAATGAGTTCAGCTTTTTTTCTCCTTCAAAAATTATTAATCTATGTTTTCATGACTCAAGATAAATAACTTTGTTTCTTGTACATATCAAATGTCTCTTTTCTCTCTCTCTTTTATGTTTAAAAGCATGTTTTAATAATGGGTTTATTGGAGAAGCTTTGGTTTCATTTTTATTTATTACTTATGCATTTAACTTTAGTTGACTCACAACAGATTATATGTACTTATGGCATATATGTAATGTTTTGATGTCTGTTCATGCTGAAGAATGATCAAATCAAGCACATCAACATATCTATCACCTCATGTAACATAATCATTTTTGTGAAGAAAACACTTAAAATCTATTCTTAACAATTTTAAAGTATAGCACACATTTTAATTATGTTCTCCGGGCTGTACAATGGGTCACCAGAACTGGCTCCTCACCTCAAACTGAAACTCTATATCTTTGGGTCGGCACCTCCCCACCCCTACCTCCTCCCCTCTGCTAACCGCATTTATAGTCTCGTGCAGCTTTCATTTTTGCACTGAATAATAGAAAGTATGGGTAGAAGAAATTTGACTAATAAAGGATGATAAATCAGACTTAGGACTTGAATTCTTAAGTCTTTCCTACCACAAATTCTCTACTATGTCAAGAATTCAAGAAAGACTATAGATTCACAGTACATATTTCTGAAGCAATTCAACTATTAGAAGAAGACTTTGGAGACCATCTGTTCCATTGTAGGCAAACAGAAGGACTTTTAATCCCAGGTTGCAGTTTCAGCACATTTTTCCCACCTTCTCTCTCTCCTGCAATACTATTAAGTAACAGCAGAAGAATCTGAAAAAGAAAAAACCATTTCAGGGAGAAGAAGCAGACTAGAGTTATAATACTGTAAGTTTCTGGAAGAACTGATGGCCCAGTCGACACCATGGTGAGGAGGGTGAATCCCAAATTGTGCTCTGTGGAGGTTGCTCTGGAGGGGTCACATGTCCCAAGATACAAAGAATGAGCGTGCTGGGCAGAAGGCATGGTGACAGCTGGAAGGAGGGTTGACAAGGCAGGACCCCATCGCTGCCCCTTCCAGCCCACTACTGCAGTGAGTTGGAGTAAATCAGGCAACTCTATTCCTGGGCTTTATCTCCAGGAGAAACTGGACTGATGTTTGGAGAGGAACGGGAAGGGCCTTTAGGCCTGCTGTGGTCTGCCCTTGGCAAAGCAGACCTGTGCAGTGGACACTCCCATTCCTAGTGGGGAATTCTATTTCGGTCCCCTTCCCAGCCCCAGAGTGAGAAAATCCTGCTGGCAAAATAGGATTCCTTGCTAATTAAACAATCCCATCCTTCACTCTGAAATGGGAATGGATAACCCAGGCTTTACAACATGGAGAAAATACACAGCACAGCAGAAAAGGAAAAGAGAACAAAAGGAGCTGCTGACCAAGGAGAAAACAGAACTCATTCAGGAAATGGTAGAGAACTTTAAAAACCTAATTTAGGGGCTGGGGATTTAGCTCAGTGGCACAGCGCCTCCCTGGCAAGCGCAAGGTTGTGAGTTCCATTCCCGGTACTGGAGAAAAACAAAAACAAAACAAAACAAAAAAAAAACCTAATTTATATCCCCAGATATTGCATGTATTAGATAAAACTTTTTTACAAATGAAAACTATGATTTATGCTTTAAAATGAGCATAAAAGCTAAAGAAAAAAACCAAGGTGATTTCAAAAATACACAGTAAAATAACAGAGGTGGGAATGAGAAAATGAGTTAATCTGGGCAGAGAGGACTAATATTTGTTGGAGTCATAGGAATCCCAGATGAAGAAAGAGAAAAACAGAGGAAGAAATATTTAAAGAAGCAATAGAAGAAAATTTTCAAGAGTTGACTCGGGTCTTCAGCATGAAAAGGCCTTTTACAGCCAAATGGAATGGATGGCTTCTGAGAAGAGACACCAGTGCTTGAATTTGTATTCTTTATATTTCTGTTTCATGTTTTTGTGCTATCTCAAAGCACCTGAAAACAAAGAGCAGGTCTTCAAATGTATCTGAGAGAAAAAAACAATGCATCTATGATCAAATGCAAATCATAAGCCAATCATCAGCCTTGTGGGTGACAGGCTTTTTCCAGCCATATAAAGACAAATAATGGCACTCTTTATACATGACTTGAAGACTTACTATAGCAAAATGAAAACCTCTGAAACTTGGGGCATAGGAGGCAATGGACCTGGCGCAGGGTATACGGAAGTGATGTCTGAATTGAAGAGCTGTGCAGGAGGCTCAAGGGCATCCAGGCAGCTGATGTGAAACCATGAGGTTTGAAAGAGTCTCTGAGAAGACATGGACAGTAATGAATAAGAAGAGAGAAAAATCTTAATGATAAGAAGGCAAATACAGAAGATAAGAAGAGAATTAATTAGAAATGCCAAGAAAAGCCAGGGCTACTTTCCTTGGCTTTGAGTTCAAACCAGCTCCTGAGTTGGAGTTCAGCCACGAACAAGCTCTGTGTAATCCACAACCATGTACAATCTGCTGGCTTCTGCATTTTTAGGATCAATGTAGAGACCAAGTGTGAAAACGTCACAATGATTGAAGACCGAGATGTAAGCAGAACTTTAATAATGATTAAAGAACGATACATAACCATGTAGACAACATAAAAGATGTGGCTGATTGGGTTGGTAAGGTTGAAAGTGTAAGAGGGAGAAGGATAGAGCTAATTTCTTCGTTTTATAAGACAGTCTGGCTTAGATGAAGCGGGTGGATGGCTTGGAGCATTTCCTACTGTTATAAAGGTTAACAATGGAAGATTAAACAGGCCACAGTTAATCCAGGTGGGATGGAGAAGTGGGAGCAAATGAGCTGCTTTTTTCCACTTCTTCTATTTCCAAGTGGAGAATAGGTGGCCATATCTACACCTGCAATCAATCAAGAGAGTGCGGAGCATGTTATGTCCTTGTACAGAGGCAGCTTCCAGACACAGTGATAATTAAAGGCTTGGAGAGGTAGGCAGGGGAGCTTTTGCTTGTGTATTCTTCTTCATTATTTGATTTTAAGACCACATTGATATCTTAACTGGAAGACAGAAGGAAAGAATGCAAGTAGCATTAAAAATGGTTTGAGAATATTTCATGCCAGTACATTGAATGACAAAATGAAATCATAAAACAAACCCAGTTCTACAGAGTTTTTCTATGGTGGTGAGGTGTGAACAACTGTATCCCTCTTTTTGCTTTTCTGTCTTTTATACATTTTGTTCAAATTACTTATTGTCCTTGCAACAATAAGATGGGATGCAGGTGATAAAGTTAGATCAAGCAGGACCTGCATGTGGTGGCTGGTCCCCTGGGTTAGGCTTTTTCTATAACTTGAAAAGCACAGCTTACTTTTTCCTTTGGCTAACTTAGAAAATTACTTCTTCCAAAAAGAGCCCTGGGGTCATTCTTCCTGAATAAAAAGGCTCAAAATTAAAAATAAATTAAAATATTTTACGTATCCTCTATTTTCTCTTCTTTGTGTGTGTGTGTGTGTGTGTGTATGTGTGTGTGTGTGTGTGTGTGTGCACGCGCACATTTACTGGAGATTCAACCCAGCACCTTCACACTGAGCTACATGCACAGCCTGTAAATTTTTTTTTAATTTTTAAAAAATTTTTTTTAAATTTTGAGGTAGAGTTTTATTAAGTTGCTGAACTCTTTGGTCTAGGCCTGAATTTGTGATCTTTCTGTTTCAGCCTCTCAGAGAGCTGGGGTTACAGACCACTCCACCACACCTGGCTGCATTATTTTTCTTAATTTAGGCCATTCAATAAGCAACAGGCATGAAACTTGACCTCCATATCTTATTTCTTTAGTAGATTCATCCTATTCCATAAACTCTTCATACTAATTTGGTAAAAAAAAAATTGTTATAAAAATAAAATCGATTTGCACAGCAAAATGCCAGGTGTGCTTTGAGAAATAGCATTTAAAAAGTGACATGAGCAATCTTGATACTCCCACTCCCGTGACAGGCCTCCTTCACAAATGAAATTTATTCTGGATCCAAATCTACAAAAATGGATCAAAAAAGCTGCATTGGTTGAAGGAGTAGGAACCCTAAAGCCACTTATCACACATGCCCACTATATGCACAGCACACACCCACAGTCCCTAACCACATGCACATAACACACACATACATCTTTTGACCACACACTCACTGCTTTTCCACAACATACACATATATACCTTCCAACCTCATGCACACACACTATGCCATCAATGCCTATACATTACTCACCCACACATCATCATATACAGACACCTCCCATACATGTGACATACACACACTGCACATCATACACCCACATACCAAACATACATGCTGCACACTGACCCCACACATAATACACTAAACCACACCACAAATACTACCACATACAAAGACCACATACACATCATAAATAGACACACATACATAGACAGGCAGACAGACACATACACGCATGTGTGCACATGCAGTTTTCTAGGCATCCTGGATTTCGTGGAACATAATTTGAAAAATCAGTTCCCTGGGTGGAAGTATTTCATGTACTTTTTTTGTTGTTGCTGTTCCGGGAATCGAACGCAGGACCTTTTACTTACCAGGCAGGCGCTTGTGCCACTGAGCTATATCCCTGGCCCTGCATTTACTTTTAAGGAGCTATTTTCTTTCTTTATCTTTTTTCCAAAGGGATACAGACATACTTTCACTGGCAATAATAAAAGATTTGGTGGTTGACTTCTTCAGGATCGGTTTAAGTCTGGAATTAGTGCTCATAGCTCCTTCTCATTTTGGTGCTTTAAAGTTAAGCAGCAACATCTTCAAATAATCCTAAAGGATTATCCATGAGAGCTGCAGAAACCCCAGGTTTTTCCTAAGATCCATGTCATAAGGGAGAACATGCCAATGTACTGTCTGCACAAGGTCACAATAACAACATGAACTGAAAGAGAGTTTCACCGGCCAGTGAGGCCCAAAGACGAAGATTTGGCTTCGTGCGATATCAACGCGGTTCCAAGCCAGGGCCAAGCTGAGCTGATCCGGAGCCGATGCATTGGTTCCTAGAAGAGCAAGAAATGAGAGCGATTTTCTGCTTTGTGTCTGGACCACTGGATCTGGCAGGTGCTGGGCAACGAGCCTAGGCTGCCCCTGGGCTGGGTCAGTGATGCCCTTTGGAGACACTGCCTTTTCTCTGGTTCCCAGCTCACCACTCAGACCTGGAAGCTAAGATCTCCGTGCTGTCCTGGAGCCACCTGGCAGGGAGGTGGAGCCAGTCTCTTCCCTTGCCAGCTCTGCATAGTCTCCTTGGGAAGGACAGAGGAGGAACACAGGAACTAAAGGCTTTTGTGTGCAAAAGGGCAGGAACCCTAGGACTGCCTAGGTATCTGCCAACCAGGCCAAAAGGTGGCCAGCTTCCCAGGAGCACTGCCTGGCAGCCAGCCCACAGTGACCCCCCTCTTCCCTCCCCCCAGATGGCCCCCATCTTGCAGAGAAGCAGGGGGGAAATGTCATCCCAGAGCAGACCCCGCCTCATAAGTGCCTGGTGGAAGCCTATCATTAGGGGAAGGACAGGGAAATTAGACAGAGCCCTGTGGAATGCAGTGATTGCAAAAGAAAATCTGTTTCATGTTTACACTGAGAGTAGAAGCTTTCCATGAACTAGTTACGAATAGAACCAGGTCTGACCTCAGCACAGACACTAACAGACACCACCTCATAGAAGCCCTTCAGGAGCCTTGTGACTGTAGGTGGCTTCTTGCTAAAATCACCCCCAGGGAGCCAGGCTGCCTCAGAGCTCTGTCCAATGCAGTCACTGCTCAAGGCAGCAGCACTCTGAAGGGGCAGAGGTCTCCATTTCTGAGAGCTCACCTTTCAGCAGGGCCGTTAAAATTGCCATCTCAACATCTTGCTGACCCTCGGAGCCCATTCTAAACACAGTGACCTAAAAACAGGTAAATTGCAAAATGATGGAGTTAAAGCAAAGATGAAAACAAGAGGGGGAATTCAGGTGTTTAAAACAGCAATGAAAAGGAGTGGCTCATAGTGAGATATAAATAATTTCAAATCCAATGCTTTTGATTTCCAGGAGTTGTAGGGTTGTTTTTGCTGACCCTGAATCATTGCCTAGATTCTGATTTTCTTATTTTCCTGATCTGCTCCAACACTCTGGAGAGGAGGGTGCCCATTCTGGTTCTACATTCCAATATCTAAATAGCCATCCTAGACGACAAAATCATCTCTAATCAGATTGGATGTACTTACAGGAAATTTATAAGTTCAGAATTTTGAAGATACCATCTTACATGCACCAGAAATACCTATTTCTTACAAACACAATTAAGGAAGGAGAGAGTGGGAAATAATTACTGCATTTGGAAAGTGAAATGATTTCAGTTATACAAGTATGCCAAGAAGGGTGGTGTATGTCTCTGTCTTGAAAGCTGATGCACCCGGGCTATGTGACATGTCATCTCAAATCTGCTGAGGTCTGAAAGCACCAGGGACCCTCTGTTGTGTGGGCTTGTTGCACTTCTGTCATGAGGGCACACTGCCAATTTGGTGTGGATTTATAAACTGCCTCTTGGAAAAGGCTGAATCAAAATATGAACGACTCTATCAAGCACACATGGGTAGAATTAGAAAAGGAAACATAATTCTCTCTGAAGAGCTTGTTTGGAAACAAACTCAAGACACTTACAAGTTCTTTCTTCTTCATGCACTCCATTATAATTGCAAACAGCTGATGTGATTGTGTCTTGCTGTAATTAAACGTTTTCTGAATGGTAACTAGAAGCTGATCCCTGAGGGACTCATTTATTATCCTGTTCAAAGGAACACAAAAGAGAACAAAACAAAGCCAGTGAAACCCATTCATGACTAAATCAGACATTTCCGTGTCCATCTGTTAGCTTTGATTTGAAACTTTGCTATGGGAGGGTATCCCAGCATAGGAGACACAGAGTCACCATGGTCAGAAACTGCCCTCACACTTGTCCTAAGTGTCAGCCTTTTTACAAATCTTACAAGGGAGAATGAAGTTGGAAAAGAGCGTGTTTCACCAGAGAGAGAATTTTGGCTCCTGGGAAGGCTAACCTCCAAAAGGGGAGAGGAGATCTAGCAAGTCTTTACAGTGTGTATGCATTTGCAATGTTTAAGCACATCACTTCAGCTGTGCTCCTCGGCCTAACAAGGAGGCATTAAGAACCCACCCTTGATCACATGTCAGAAATCCTACCCTCCTTCTTCACAGTACTTGTGTGCAAAGGATAGAATATCCGAGGCTCTTCCACTGCCATCGCAAACCACCACTGGGACAGGAGGGTCTTCCCGGAGGTATTCCAAGACCACAGACATCACGTTAGGGCCCCCTTCCACCACGAGCCCCACGACAGGCACGCCCTGCCCCAGTCCTGCAACACAAACCACAGTCACCGCTTGGCCTCTGTACCACACCTTCACCTGAAACACGATGAAGGAGAAAAACTTGTGGACTATGGATACCGCACATGGGGCCAGTGTTCACCAAGAGGTGGGAGGAATCCGGGCATGGGGTGATTGTTTTCATTCTTGTGTGCAATCCTCACATCGTGGCCTGTTTGGAAAACCCAGCACTTCAAAATTCCTGGACTTCCTGGCTCCCACCTGGGTCAATTCCATGTATAACTCACCTGGGGCATGGGCTATCTCCAAGCGACCTGTGAGAAGCACTGCAGGATGCTCCTCCCCCACCCCAGGGTCTGAAATTCCCATCCAAGGTTGTTGCCTAGAGAATGACACAGGGAAAGGGGATCTGAGCCACAGGATGGCTCGGTTCACTTCCTGGCCTGTCCTGTATCAGGCTAATGACACTGGGCCAGTTACCACATCACCACGAGCCTTAGAAGACCATTTAAAAACTTGTTCTTAATTTTTAAATTTTATTAGTGCTCACTAGTTATACAGAAGAATGGGTTTCCTTTTGGCATATATGTACGTTAACATAAACTGTCCCAGTTTGAAAACACTCCCCTTTCCCTTCCCTCCCCCTCCCTGTGGCCCCCTCCTCTTCTCTACTAATCTCCCTTCCACTTTTCTGCTTAGATGACCGCTTGTAAAAGGTAAACAACCACCATGCCTTCCTTTCTTTCGAAGGCGCAGTAGATCTGAAACATAGGAAAATGCCAATCGATCAAAGTATTTTGTGAACTTTAAGTGGCAAACATATGGAATGCTCCGGTTGTTTCTCCCTCCAGCACCTGGAATAAGGCAGTGTAGGCTGAGTGTGTGAAAACCCTAAACCAATAATGGGGACCATTTCTGATTTCAGACTAGTGATGCTCAACTGATAAAGTCCATGCACATATTCCACAATCTGAAAAACTCTGAAATCTGAAACACTTCTTGTCCCAAGAGTTTCAGATAAAAGACGCCCGACTTCGCAGTTGTCTCAGAGGCTAATGCATGGACCAGTACTGGCCCACTGTTGATGACTTGTTCCCAGAGTTGTCTCTCTGCTTTTATCAAATAAGACTCTCTGAGAATGCAGTGGTGCAGGTTAACTTTTAGTGGTAGAACCATCAGGGTGGGCTCTGGGAAGCAGGACGATTCTGGGAAGCTGGAATTCTGGAGCAGGAGTACATTTTTAAAAAAAGGAGCAGCAGGGAAAAGTTTTCCCACCTCACAAATTTACCCTCCGCGGGCTAGAAGAGATTATAGCATAGTCATTCCTCTGTACCTGAGGAGAATTGGTTCCAGGATCCCTTGTGGAGGGAGACCCAAATCCTTGAATGTCAGGTCCCCGCATATAAGATGGTGTAGCATTTTCAAAGAACCCAACACATCCTCCCTTCTACTCACATTGTCTCTAAGTGACTTGTCATACCTAGTACAATGCAAGCACTGTGTAACTAGTTGTTATCGCTTAGGGAATAATAACAAGAAGAAATCTGCACATGTTCAGTACAAACAAAATTTTTCCCTCAAATATTTTATATCTGCTGTTGGTGGAGTTCTCGGACACAGAACCCACGCACGCAGAGGGTTGACTGTATTCGGCGCATGTTTCACCAGGTGGTATTTAGCTGACCAGCATTAACAAACAGCAGTAGGGAAAGTTCCCTGGACCTCACAGTTTTCAAGACCTTCAGATAAAATCTGGTAGCACAGGCCATAAGAAGGTTTGAGAATTTCAAATGGGTGAACTCAAAGTTTCTGATTGAGGTCCACAGTGAGATTCCACAGTCAGGAATGCTTAAATATTTTGAACAAATTTTCTTTCTCCTAGTGGAATGATTATACTTCTGGTCATTTCAGCAAATAAGCATTGAAAGTTCCCAGTGGGCCAACCCGGAACAAGAGATACTGGAGAACAGATCACGATGGCGCAGACTTTACTCTGTCTTTCAGCTTTCTAATGCAAGCAGGGCTTGGGATTTTAGATCTTCAGGATACAGTGGCTAAATCACCTTCTCTTCTAGAAAGAGTAAAACTGATTCTTCTTGGCTGATGCTGGACTCTCGGAAGCTTGTGGAGTGGGAGGTGACAACTGAGCACCCCTTTGCTGTCCCTGCCCCACTCAGAGCCCTAGGCAAAGGATGACAAAGGGAAGCCCACAAGTCACACAGCTGGGTGAAGCAGGGCAGTGTAAAAACTCACAAGTCCAGAAAAATTTAACGTGTTGGAAACACAACAAAAAATTCAACCAGTGTATCCATCAAGATGTGATTCTTGGACATCCACATCTTTTTGTAGTAGGCCTTCCCCTTCTAACCACTTGAGCAACAGCACAGTCCCTGAAATTCTGCTTTATAATGACCATTTCCCAGCCCCAGATTGTCTTGCACAAAAATCTCTTCAGAAAGGGTTAAAACAAAGTATTTGATATCATTTAATAATTGTTTCACAGTAAAATTGTTGGAATACGGGGATACCCTAGAGATAATTCCAAGTATTTTAATTCTATCCAGTTCTTATCATTTCATCTGGCTGGGGTTCATTCTTTTCTCTCTAGTTCAACCTCAAATATCTCAAAAGTGGCTGGTCCCCCGCAGTGCTGTGACCAGCAAGCACCATGACCCCTTAGCAGCAAATGGCCCCTGTCCTCCTTTACAAAGGTTCCCCTCCTGGCCATCTTAGTCTGAGAGAGGGACTCAGAGCTACAGAGATATTTAACGATGGTATAATATCCATTCAGAGAGGAATCATACAAATCTTTAGTAAGATTTTTTTATCCTATTAGCCTATTTTAAAGATAATGTAGTAATTACAGAGCCATACGATAGGTAGCACCATCATGGTGACAACTACTGCAAAGCTGCTTCTTGCACCAACTTGTGAACTCGGGACAAAGCACCACATGGTAGCTCAGTGAAAACCCTTGGCAGGTGGCTAAGGCAAAGGTCTAGGTAATTCACATTCTGTTGATCTAGCAACAACCAAGGGTAAAGCTTTCAACACCACTGGACAGTTTCCTCCTCAGCTGGTTTTACTGCTTGTGGCATCAGTCCAGTGGTAGTACCCGTGGCCTTCCCCAGAACTTACTTGTGTTGATCTTTTGCAGAGAGATGTGCTTTTCAAGCTGTCTTCGCAGCTTCACCTCAGCACCATACTTGCCCAAGGTACCGTTGTCGGCCAGGATGAAGTGTGTGTGTGAATTGTTGAGCACAGAGAGCTTACTCAGAGGGTTTGACATGGTCTGGTACACTCTTGTTACCTGACAAAATGAGCAATGAAGATTAGAGCTGTAGAACTTGGGTATAAGACTAACAGAGGCAGGAAGTGGAGCACGTGTAGGTAATGACTATGCTTAAATGTATTCTCACTTCTCTCGCCTATCTTTAGAAGTTTTTCTTGAAATTTGCTATATTAAAATAGAAAAAAATATATTAGATAATTATAACTCAATAATTGTGCACTTGGATAAAACTTACATTAACACACAATCCTGTACACAAAGGTTTGTGTCAGCTTTATTTATAATAACAAACTGTAAATAACTCCGATTTTTTCAGCAGAGAAATGGTTAAATGACCTATGCTATATGGATACTAAGAATACTACTCAGCAATAACAAGGAAGGAGGGCTGGGGATTTAGCTCAGCGGCAAAAAGCGCCTGCCTGGCAAGCGCAAGGTCGTGAGTTCGGTTCCCGGTACCGGAGAAAAACAAACAAACAAACAAACAAAAAAATAACAAGGAAGGAACTCTCAACCCCCATGAAACTGCAGGCAAACATCTAGAGAATTATGCAGAGGAAGAAAAGCCAGTTCCAAAGGTTACACATATAAGGTTACATGTTTATAAGATACACCTGAAATGATAAAATTGTACAGTTGTGCGGCACATTAGTGGTGGGAGTTAAGAAGGGAGTGAGGGTAGGAGGGATTTGGCTATAGGCATTGAAGGGTAATAGGAGGAAACTTTGCATTGATGGGAGTTTTTGATATCCTGACTGGATCAATATTAACATCCTGGTTGTGATACTGTACTATGGTTTTATGTGAAGGGTGAGAGATGGGAGCTCTCTTTATTGTTTCTTACATGAGAATATACAATCATCTCAAATATAACTTCCATTTAAAAACAATCGTCAGTCTCTTCAGAGAAAACACTTACATCCTTGCCAACGAGGTCTTCCTTATTTTCCACCATGCCCCATGGAGCGATTCCTATGGCACAGACTCGGCCTCTGGACTTGGAGGAGTGATCCTTCAAGGCATCCCCCACGTGGCTGATGACACCTGTGAGCAGCCATAAGCGGTATTTTAGGCCCCTCTACTTTTCTCATACCACTATTCTCACGAATTTGAAGGACACTCCCTGTGCAACAGGGATGGAACACATTCCTCTTCATCACCAAACGAAAGCACACTGAGTGTCTGAGATCATAACAATTATCCTGCTTTAACTCCTGAAATAGGGAAAACAAAAACAGACACCAAAATAACTGCGTAAGGACTTTCTTTACAAGTTTCTGTGACGTGAAGATGGAAGTCACTGGGTTTCTTTGGCAATTCTTGACTACATTAAGCTAAAAGGGAGAGAGAGAGCCAGAAAGTCTAGACGGTTCTTAACCTCTCTGTACCTTGATTTACTCTTCCAACAATGGAGGAAGAATTGTCAACAGGCTCATTGAAGATAATCTTTGTCCAGTGCTCAGTTAAGGAGTAGCACACAGTAGATGATCCAGAGGTGTTCACTATTGTTCCTACTGTACTGCTGTAGTTTGGATCCTGAGTAGCCCTCACAGGCTTGGTACCCAGCCTGGTGTTATGGGGAAGGGATGGAAACTTTCAGAGGTGTAGCCTAGTGGGTGGTCTTTGGGTCATTGGTGGTATGCCTTGAAAGGGGTTGTGGGACGCCAGCCTCCTTGTTTCTCTCTCTCTTTCATTCCTGGCCATGAGGTTTTGTTCTGCCATAGGATCCTCCCCATTCAATCGTGCCAACAGATCACTGACTAAAACATCTAAACCTGTAGCCAAAACACCTCTTTTCTCTTTATAAGTTGATAATCCTGGGTGATAAAACACTAACATAATTATATTTGCTGTTAAAGCAAAATGAATCGTACAAAAAAAACTTACTTAAAAAAAGACTTCATGTTAGGATCAGGATGCAGTATATTTTGTTTTCTGAGCATTATTACTGGGAAGCTCTTCGGGCACCACAGGGAGTTCAGGGCGTGTACATTTACAGGAGGTGAAGGGCTTGCTCTTACCAGTGCTGACACCTCCTGTGAAGATCCAGGCACCCGTGGTCATGGCGGCCTTGATCAGACCTTTCCCAAACACCTGCTTCAGCTTGGGCTGCATCTCAAAGTTCTGGAGTCCTCCATGCACTGATATTAAGAGCTTGGGGAGTTCCAGCTGCCAGTCTTTCACCATGAGATGAAGCAGGGAGTCTGGCTTGGTGTCGTAGGATACGCGAATGTACTGTAAAGGAGGGTGGGCGCGCTCAGAACATGTTCTTGGTTTTGCTTCTCATGTCAAAGGGGAGCAGGGCTCTCCCTTGTACCCAAGCAAGAACTGTCTAGCTTGTTTCAGGTTTCCCATGCCCTTTGTGTGAATCTGTGCCTAAGGGGCTACAGGGAATTCGGGGAAAGGATGCCAGATTTAGCTACTGAAAATACAGGAGTTCCCAGGGCTAGAGTTGTGTTTTCCCACTATTCGTGTGCTGAAACCCAAATTCCCAATGTAACAGTATTAAGAGGTGGTCTTTGTCATCTCTTAAAGGCTAAAGGACGGTGCTCTTGAGACCCAAAGGAAGCTGTTCACCTCTTCTGCAGTGTTCACAATACCCCAAGAAGCACTGTCTATGAAACAAAGGGCAAGATTTTGCCAGACACCAAATCTGCTGGTGTCTTGGTCCTGGAGCTCTTAGCTGCTAGAACTGTGAGCAATAAGTGTCTGGTGTTTAGAAATTATCCAGTGCTTTGTTATAGCAGCTGAATAGACTAAGGCACCCAGTTAAATCTGAATTTTAGATGAACAATGAAAAATAATTTAGTACAATATTTTTACTAAATGCAGTAAATCATTCATTATTTGGGACATAGTTGTACTAAAAGTATCTCCTATTTGTCTGAAATTCACAAATAACCCAGTGTCCTGTAGTTTCTCTGGACCCCTAAATTTTGGAAGAATCCATGTCATAGCTGGATAAGGGCACTGTTGAGTGAGTGGACAAGGGATCATGGGACTACATCTGGACTTGACCTCGAGAGAAGAAGAGGTCAATAGTCGCAGGACTCAGTCCCTGTGAGTTGCTTCTCTGTGTCCACACCACTATGAAATGTGTCATTTTAGAAGATCACTTACTGTGGTACTTGGAACACAATGGAGTATTTTTGCACAAGGATATTGGACTGATAAAATAAAATGAAATTTCAAAAATGGCCTAACTTGGCCTATGAAAGTGTTATTCAGAGTTAGCTAGAAGGGATCACAGTGAGCCTCCCCTCTCTGAGAAGCGCATTAGAGAGGCAGAGGGCACTCCCTGTTTACAGATACATATGAGAGACTCTGCTCCCTTCTGTGCTAGCTAAGCACAGACCCAGGAGATCTATGGACAGACTTCAGGACAAATATTTCCAGAGAGTTCCTATATATCTAAAGGGGTTTCAGGTCCATATATTTTTAAAAAGAAATTTCCTATCACTGGAAACAAACATAGTTTCAAGCTTGGGCCAGACACGCTTTGTGGGTCAGAACTTTGGTATAGATTTATGGGATATTATAAACCCATTATGATGATGTCCAGTTTCCAGGTCTCTTGGCTTAAAAATCAATGTGCACAGATATATCTTTTGGTTCTACAGTTAAATATCTAGGGAAATTGATACATAACAACAAAGAAAACAAGTATCTGTTGTCTAGGGGCTGAAAGACAGGTCTCTGATGAGAAACGAGGTCCCCATGGCTCCATGTCCAACTGCCCCTCTTACCATTGCTTTATTAGAATATCCACCACCCTGGAATTCAAGAATTCCATAGGTATCCGTTGGGTAGCTCTGGGTGTGTTTGCTGACAGACCATTTTTCTGGCTGAGTCTCCACCTGTTTGTTCTCCTCTCCATTTTTGCTGGGAGTTACAGTTGGCAGAGGGGGAATATGCTGATTGGTGAGCTGACCGCAGCAACACCTGAAAAAAAGGAAAGCTGGGGCTTTCTAAAGCATTTTTGTTCTTTACCGTCCATTAGCAAAGAATCACCTGAGCGAGTGAATTGGGCCAATCAGGAGCACACTAACACCTTAGCTATCGAACTTTGTTAGGGAGAGAAACACTCCTTTCTGGTTAACTTTCCCAGATAACTAATGCCCGTGTATTTATACACCAGTCTATTTTAATGGATGATTGTCTTTCTGTTCTGTACAATCAACTCTTTTTGATGGCCTAATGCCATTAAAGTAAGTTGGACATTTTGAACATTACTAAACATTTTGTGACAAAGTACAATCATGTTCTACAAACAGAACTGAGCTTCCAGAATTTCTAATATTGTCAGGCTCTTGTCTTGCTTTGTAAAACATTCCTCTACCCAAGGAATATTGAAAGTTTGTTTCAACAAGTCCCAGTATGTCTTTTTCTGCCCTGGGCAGTTGGCCTATTGGGCTGTCCTCTACCCCAGCTGGAGTGATCTTGCACTACAGTGTCACCCCATAGTGTAGCCAGCCTCTTGTGCTACACTGCTGTCTCTTTCTAGTTGTCTGTCTTAGTTACTTTTCTCACTGCTGAGACAAAATACTCAACCCAAAATTAAAGGTTTATTTCAGCTCACGGTTTGTAGAGGTTTCAGTCTGTATTCAGCTGAGTCCAAGGCAGGGTGGCATGGCAGAGGGGCATTGCAGACGAGAAACAGTCCATGGCATAGCAGTCAGGAGGCAGTAAGCGGCCAATAGCAGCAGCAGCAAACCTGCCTTCCCTCTTTTCCTTTATACACCATTCAGTGTATAAACCTATTGATTGGTGTCAGCCACACCTAGGGTGGGGCTTCCATTGTTCACACACAAACCTATGCTAATTCCAGTCAGTAGACTGATATACCACCCACCCTTATCACATGCACACACCCTCCATGCAGCCAGCTCTGGAAACCCCCACCTACGAGCGCACAAGGCTAGGGGAACGTCTGATACAAGGAATAATGTTGTCTTTGAGCATATTCTTTGGTTTTGTGCCAGTGTACTTTCCTAGCATGCTTGGATTTTCCTTTGTCAGACAGTTGTAGGTGCCATTTGAGTGGTCCAGATCTGCCCGTACTTGAAATATCTCTTAGGAGAAAGAACAGTAGCATGGAATGATGCAGATGAGGTATGTTTCTTTCAGGCAACACATAGATGCCTCTTGTATTTTTTGATCTAACCTGCCAGACTGTGTTGGAAAATATCTCCATCCTCTGCTAATTTTGGAAAAGTTTGTGAAGAATTTATATTAATTTTTCTTTAAGTATATTTTAGATTTCAGCGGAGAAGCCATCTGGACCTGGGCTTTCAACAAAACTACTAATCGACTACTGATGGGTAGTTTTTGATTATTTATCCTATTTTACTTATTGTATATCTATTTAGATTATGCTTTTATTCTGTTAGTTTTGATAGTTTGTGTCTATCTAGAAATTTTCCTATTTCATCTAAATTATCTAATTTCTTGGTACAAATAATAGTATTCCTCTGCGCTTATTTCTATTTATATAAGATTGGTAGTGATGACCCCTCTTTCACATTTTATTCTAGTTCTTTCATTCTTTCCTTTTTTCTTCATCAGTCTATCTAAACTTTTTCTGTTATGTTAATTTTTTCCAAGAACAACTTTTGACTTCATTGAGTTTCTCTACAAAAATTTCCTATTTTCCAGCATGGACCAAATAGGTAAATTTTCTATTCTGGTTTCATTTTATTAATTTCCATTTTAACTATGAGTTTCTTCCTTCTGTTTGCTTTAGTGTTAGTTTGCTCTTTTTCCAGTGTCTTGTATTGGAAGATTACATTATTTATTCAAGATCTGCTCCTCTCAGTGCTACTTTAGCTGCATCCCCTAAGGTTTGGTGTGCTGTGCCTTAATTTCCACTTATCTTGAAATATTTTATTATTTCTGTTTAATTTTCTCTTTAGGCCATTGGTTATTTAGGAGTGTGTGGTTTAATTTCAACATATGTATGAGTTTCTAAAATGTTTTACTATTATTAAGTTTTTATTTTTAATTTCATTGTGAAATTTCTAATTTCATTATTGTATCTCTCATTAGGAGATTAATATTGTGAATATATTATGAATATGAATATATACAAACCATATTTTGTATTCTATCCTTTTAAATTTATTGGGACTGTTTTCTGGCCTAGTATACAGTCTATCTTAGAGGACACCTTAGAGAACCTTCCCACATGCACTTGAGAACAATGTCTGTTCTGTTGTTGGGTGTCACGCTGTATGATGTTTGTAAATCTAGTTGGTTTATAGAACTGCCCAAGTCTTTCATTCTAAAGGTTCTATCCACAATAGAAAAAGGGGTATTGAAGTCTCTGGATGTTACTGTTGAATTGTTTCTGTTTCTCTTTATTTCTATCAGTTTTACTTTTGCATTTTGGTGCTTAGTTATTAGATGCATATATGTTTACAATTGTTATCATTTCCTAATGGAGTGACTACTTTAATCATTATGAAATATCCCTCTTTATCTCTGTCTTCCTTTTTTTTTTTTTTTTTTGGTGCTGGGAATCAAACTCATGACCTAATGCTTGCCAGGCAGACACTGTCCAACTGAGCTATATCCCCAGCCCTTTATCTCTGATAACATGCTTCTGGTCTACTTTATTAAAGCAGTCCACTTTATTTAAAAGCAGTATAATTACCCCCACTTTCTGTAGCTGCTGCTACAAGTTGGGTCTGGATCAAAGAAGGGAGCTTCTGCCTCTTAACTGCACTCACCCAGGACTTCGCCTTAGCAACAGTAGCTGGGGACATGATGAGAGATGCTGAAGTCCTGCTCATCCTTAGAGAAAGTCTTCTAACTGGGATCTGAGGGTACAGTGTGTTTGTGGCTGCAACAGTTTGGGATAAAGTCTTCCCCTGGGTAAACCGGTAGAAAGGGAACTCTGTTTGTTTAAATTCCACAAACTTAGCTGTTTTTACTGAATTTTAGAAGATTTTCTTGAATAGCTCTTTCTTCACATGCTCTTTGCCTTCAAGATCATTTCCAGAAGTGTTTAATGTTTTTCTTTTAAATTCCAGCTCCCAGAGGAGCCCTGTGTGTGAGCCTCTAAAGCCCTTCTGCCCCTCTGCTGCCTGGCCACGTGTCTGTGGGAGGGACTGTAGTGCCGCCATGCTGAGGAGGGCTGTTTGGCTGCCACTGGGTGTGGTGCCATTGAAATGAGGAGGGATGTGTAGATACAACACAGGGAAGACTTTTGTGAAGTCTCCTGAAAGGGTATTTCTTATCTTGGGGGATGAGTACCGGTGTTTAAGCACGGGAAGGACCCCGCACAGTGGCTTGTGGAGGGGAACTTACATAGGTCAAACAAATTTGAGCCACATGATGCCTAACAGTCCATGGGTTTCTGTATCCGTGATTCTACCTGCATGGATTTCTCAGTAAACAAATGGATAAATTATTTCCCCACTCCTCAAACTCAGCCCTCATAGTTTTTCTCCTAAGAGATGAGAAGTCTTAGCTAAATTCATCTCTGGTTGCTTGCACACTTTAGAAGGCCTTCTGTTCTGCTTATAACAGATATATTTTCATAAAGGTGAGTGAATTTGTTTGACATTTTGTGTACAAGTTACACTCTTTAATAAAGCATGTCTACTTCACAGAACCACTCAGATCTTTCTTGTGATGGAAATTCCTGTTCATCTAAATTATGAAATTCTACTGAACAGGCCCAGAAGACATCTAAAAATCTGTCTAAAGTTCACATGTCTCTGATCTATGAATAAAGGATACTGTGAGCCCATCTGGTTATGAGAATTCCCATTAGTGTGAGTGGCAGATAGAAACCCTTTCTCAAGACTGTCTGCATCTTAAAGAGCAGCATGTTAGCCCTGAGACTCCCTGCTAATGATCATGGTTCTGGCACCCTCCCTGACTCTTCTCCCCTCTCCCACAGGCACTACAAGAATAGTTGCTGAGCAACTGGAGAACAAACTTTGGTCTGAACAATGCCTCATCATTACTTCCAACCTACCTGTTAGGATCTTTTGTGCTGGGAATTACAAAAATACATTCTCGTTTGCAAAAGGTTTTCTCTATCCACGCTTTCTGACCCTAAAAGAGAAAAGAATGGAAATTAGATTGATACCTCCCCAAGCCATCACCAGAGTTCATTATTTTACTTTTACAAAATTAT